AACATGTTTTTTTTTCTAGGAATCCAGATTTTGTTATTTACATTACAAACAAAATGTTTTGGAAAATTTCGATACAATAATGTACGAGCAAATTCATTTATTTCATTCATTCGAAAAAATTCAATTAGCATAGTTTTCATTGTATTCTCCTTTTGAATAACAATAAATAAATCATTATCATCGGCGTATGTTACTTATTGATGATCTTCAATATAAAGCTGTAAAGAGTAAATAGATGTATACATATCAGACAAATTGAAAGAAAAAATTCTCCACATAGCTTCAGGTGGAGATATCTATCTAGCAGATTGATGAACTACAATTTCATCAATTTCTTTTTTTTGTTTCATTGGTATTAACACATAAATTAATGCGATCGTAACCTTTGTACACATACTTGTAGAGATATTTTTCAATTTTGATAGAAGAACATACTTCAATATTAATATGACAATCAAATTTAGCATTTAATAAGGATTGTACGGTACAATCTAACGAGTGTCCAACATTTGACCTCTTACTTTAACAAAAATACCATTATTACACCGCCTATATAATATGTATGAGTTATCATCAAATATAGTAGTATTACAATAATCCTTCGGATATTTATTTTTACAATCTTTATTTGGTTCCATACATACATTCTTAGGATTTAGGTTTTCACAAGGACCATGTATATTGTGTTTAACAATAACATAATGAAGATAAGAGTATTTCTATTTGTCAGGAATTTCACAGGAAACTATCTTATCATCTGATTTTCCATAACGTTGTACAATAGTCATGACATCCATATATCTCCTTAGCAAATCTCTAGGATCACATGTAAAAGATTGTGGTAAAACAAATTTCCTTCCTGTTTTGTACCCCATTGTCTCTCCATTTTCAATACTATCACAATGCCTTGATAAAGTTCAACACAGATTTTTTTTTTCTGGTTATTACGAAAATAATATAATCTAGTAGTTTCAATCTTAACATAATATCTACAACATATTGTTGGAATATTCTACCAGTATGAAGTAACACGAACTTATCTGGAGACTTGATTTGTAATTTGTATGAATAGTATTCTCTACAAGAGACTTGAAATCGTTCATTCGTTCCATTAAGCACTGCACCACACAACAATAACACAATCTGAGTATTCATATTCATTTTAACCAGTAAAATTGTAAACAGGTATTAAATTTAAGTCCATCTACTAACCCGCATCTTCTTTTTCAAGAAGTTCAGTTACAGAATTCATTGTGAGTGATAGGGTCGGGCAAATGCGTAGGTGAGAAGCATGTGTTTTTATATCTCTCAATACCTTCATACCAACCAAATTCTCTATATGAAAAAATCAAAGGATATTCTAAAGGATCATAACAACCATAGTAATAGTGAACTTTGTACGATTCACCGAATGACCATATAGAGTAATATCACGAACACGAATATTTACATTTTCATCATCTTCGACTCATTTAGCAGCTACTTGAAAAGTTGTGAAATATTAAAAACTCTTTGATCAACTCTTGGATCGTATCTTATTTGTATCCGATGGTGATGCAAGTTAGGTATATTACTTAAAGATCTAAAGAATCTGCTATATGGATTTACATTTATAATTCACTTTAAAACAATCAAAGTAGATTCAACAAAGTTCTCTGAAATTTTCATGCGATTTTAAAGCTCATTATCTGTATCATAAAAATATAACTGCATATAAGAAGGTGTATTATTTTTTGGTATAAGTTGATTTACATAATGATACACTTGCCCCTGCACTCTAAATGTGTAAATACATTTCCATACATATAGATTCTTTAGAAGTAAACAAGGCATACAATTCAGTTGGTGATTCAAACATAAAAAGCTTAAATTTTCCTTTAGAACAACATAAGCATTTACTTTCTTTAAACAAATTTCGTGCACCACAATATTTACAATCAATACATGCTGGTAAATACATATGAAGTACGTGGTACATTCAATATGTTCGTACTTTCTTCTAATTCAGAATTGAGACCATCAATTGTTCTTTGGTTTGACGTTGAAACTTCAGAATCATGATGTATGATAGATTCATACATTTCAACAAGACGTAAGCTGTTCTCTCCATATGACAAACGTAAGTTGTTATCTACATATGACATACATTTATTTATCCTCTTTAGAAGATCATTGCGCTCAATTAACAATCGATTGTACCGATCCCTTTCTCTTTGATTATGTTTTTGACGAATAACGGCATGATATGACTCATTGGTAGTTTGAGAGGTAGCTTGAAGGTTAGCTAAATCAACATCTCCATCACTAGATGATACAAAAATATCCATCACAACATTAACAATGTTTTGTAGAATAGTTGAACCTCAATTGTAGCTACACAAAGTAAAAGTATTAGAAAGAAATAATCTTACATATGTTAGAACATACATACAATAAAACTAAGATATACTTTAAAAGGAAAAAAATAGTGTTGATAAAGAGCACAAAGAAAGCTCAAGAACCAACTTATTACAAATTTTACAAGTTATTATAAACAAATAACCAAAATAAATGCACTATATAAACATATAATCAAAATTCATTTTTCAAAAAAAAAAAACACATTTTAATAGTTGTCAAACAGGGGCTAATATACAAATCCTTCCACTATGTTCATGTATCTTCCACTGAGACAATACATTGCTGCCTTTGCCATGCGTTAAGGAATTGGCTTAAAAGGTCAAATAAATGAGTTAGGCTATTATAAATTATAATAATGAAACATACCTGTATTCTTGATCATGAGAGTGTCATTCGTCTTTGAAAGAATCCTGTCTTCCACAACAAAACTAAACACAGATGTAAGGTTTTATTTTACTAAAGATATAGGCTCACGAAAAGTAATCAAACCTTAGAAAGCGTCTACTAAACCTAATCCAGCACATGTAGGAACTAAGTCCTACCTTATATAAGGTATTCCACCATATATCATCCAGAATCAAGCCTGAGAATCTACCTGAGCCCACTCATTTTAGGCTTACCAACGTTTCAAGCATATTCCTTCATAATCCATCCACTCCACGGGAATGCTTTAGCATCAATTCGAACATATGATCTCCATTTCCGATGTACGATATTTCCACCACTTTGCCTAATCATTCTTCTAAAAATATTTCAATATTCACAATAAGTATGAATGTTGATGTTATTACTGATTAGATTTTAGTTTGATAGGCTAAATAATAAGATTTTGTTATAATCATTGTCATGAATAAGATACAACTTCAAATTATTCCTTCAATCCATTTTAATATCTTGTTGGTCGAGTATATGCAGCGTATATAGAATTTTATCTAAAATATGAATTAAACATTAATAAGTTATAGATTATTTTATCCACGATTAGTCAATTCCAAAGTAAATTACAAATACTTGTTGAAGTTAATTGTTTACAATACAAGTAGCTTTTTACGACATTTGTTTACTGTATACACATACTTTGATATGGATCGATTATTTTGTACTATTTTAATCAGTTATATTTGGAGTAACAGCCTATACTTTTGATATATTACTATCAACATTTTGACCAGGCTAATGATGTTCTTAGTAACAATTTATATTAAGTCTACATTTTGGAATATTGTATTGTACCATACTTAATACATTTGTTCATTGAAATTATGGAAAATATGATTATAAGTGTTGATATATGTAGTTTTGTTCTTTAATTATTATAGGTTTGCTAGTAATCAAATAAATAAATGCTTTTAAAAAACGAAATTGACATTTATGGCATGCCCTATATGAATGCATAAAAAATTATCTTTTTCACGACATGAGAATGCACGCCATAAAAAATTTAAATATTATCTTTTACAGCGTGCAATAAATGCATGCCGTAAAAAGGAAGTGAGAATTTATGGCGTCGTGCATTTTGTTTTGTACCAGCACCTGTAAAAGGAAATGAGTATATACGGTGTCATGCATTCCCTTTTTTCAAGGCATTTTGTTTGCTACATAAAAAGGGCGAGTACTTATGACATCACTTTATACGATATTCACATGCACTAATACTCGCAGACAAAAACAAACTTTTTGTAGCGTTGGAGTTCAAATATATAACTTCTCTCGACCTCCATCAACTCCCTATAACTTCGTAGAGCATATCTTGCATAAAAGAGAGAGAAATGATGGCTGAAAGTTCGTGAAACTCGCGTGGAAATATACACCAAAATTGAAAAACAAGAAAACTCTCTAAACTTGGCTATTAAATTGTGAATAATAATTTCCTTTCATCGTCATCAAGAATGGGATCGTAGGAAGGCAATAAAATGCAGATTTTGAAATACGAAAAAGTAAGGTGATTCAACCATTAAGGATATGAAATTTTTTGTTTTCAAGTAAGGGTTCTTGAACCGTAATTATGTTCAAACATGCTGTAAATTCTTTCAGATCCTCCTAATTTTGAAAACAGTGACTGAATCAAATGCATTTTATTTTAACACGATCAATATGTGCTTATTATGTGATTAGGATGTTGTTGATTTGGCATACATGGACAAGGAGAAATCGAAGCTGTTGACATGAGAGAACCTGGGTGTTCGGCAATATGGTGCTGCTGGCAGTTTTAATGTTTTTGAATATTTCTAAGTATTTATTTATTATGTTTAGCTATATGGTTATTAATTTCAATCATTGTATCTCATCAAAAGTTGACTATTTTCAATTCTTAAATTGACAGATCCTCTCATATTTGGTATATTCATAATGTCTTTCATTTTTTTTCTATATATGCCCGATTAGTAAGTGAATTTCATTTTGTAAGTATAAATACTTTAACCTTTTTGCATTGTCAATTCATATTCTCATTCATTTCTCTTCATTAATTTGTCATAAAGTGGCACTAAAATTAATGCAGTCTTAAGCCTATATAATTCAACTCTCATCTTTTGTCAAGCACGCCTCTATACTTTCCTGCACAACTATAAACCCTTGTCGTGCTCGAAAAATAATCATCAATGGCTGAAATCATAGAAAATAAATCAGCCTATAGGGATAATGGCATTCCTCTAGAGATTGTGTTTAACATACTTTCTCGACTACCTGTTAAATCATTGCTCCAATTCAAGTCAGTTAATAAGGCCTGGCATGCTTTGATTTCGAGTCCTGAATTTATCAAGGAGCATCTCAATCGAGCTAGTGACATAGACAACTTCATCTTCCACAGATTCATGTATATTAAAGTTCGTCCCTTCTCCCGACAAGACCTCTCCCAATCCTTCGATTTCAGCACTTTTAACAAAGTCCCTGCCAGACTTCCTCTCAACAGCCAGTTCGTGAATGCCGAGGTAGTAGCTTCTTGTAATGGACTTGTGCTTCTGTACATGAATCACGAGAAACATCTCTTGTGGAACCCTTCAACTGGAAACTACAAAGAAATTTCAGGTCTTCACAGGAACAGACTTAACATACAATCTTATAATAGACTGTACGGGATTGCTCATGATGCATCCATTGATGAATATACAGTGATAAGTGCAGCTAGGGTTTCTCATTCGCAGAATCAAGAAACCATAGTCTCAGTTTATAACTGCAGGACTAATTGTTGCAACTATATCACTGGATTTCCTTACTGGATTTTCAGGAATCAACAAGGGGCTGTTGTGAATGGAGCTCCACACTGGTTAGTATCTAATGGTCATGGTGATGGAGAAGGATGCGCTATTATATACTTCGATTTATCCAATGAAACATTCAAGGAAGTGGCAAAACCTGATTGGGCTGAAAATGGTTCTGAATTGGATTTGAGGGCTTTCAAAGGACTTCTATGTTTGGTTCAGTATAAACGAGGCTACGCGGACATTTGGGTTATGGAAGAATACGGTGAACCAGGATCTTGGAATAAGTTATACAGCTATGTTCGTTCTTTGAGCGCGTTGGATGTGAGGCCACTAGGTTTAACACACGACGATGAAGTTGTGATGGAGATGGAACAATCTAGGGTTGCTATTTACAATCCTGAAACACGCCAATTTTACGACAAGAATATTTATTCGTGCTACAATAATGGTTTTAAGGCTGTCACATATGTGGAGAGCTTAGTTTCACCCAATGCATGGAATGAAGATATGTGACAACTTTAACCATTGAAGGGAAAAAAATGGAACTGCTGATAGTGCTACAGGAGATTTTATTGCTGTTTTTGAAGAGAATTTAACTACTTTTCATACAAGAATATTATGAACTTTCATTTCAATTTGGGCATATACTACTTTTGATCACTTTCTATCACGTATAAACGATAAGCGGAACATGAAAAATCTGTCATAACATAGTCATTCGCATTTTTAAGGAAACTTTTAAAGAAAAAATAACAGTTTTTTTAACGAGTTCTATGACGATTAGCTTTGAATAAAATACACAATAATTATAGTAAAAAGTACAATTTGTCATAACCTCGACTCCTGCTAACCATTTTCACATTGAATTGTTAAATGTATATCAAATATATCATTTTAAATTAAATAGGATGGTTGAATGGTAAAAAGTATGGTAGAGGTCGGCGGTTGGAAACATATTCCACGAAAATATTAAAAAGGTCTAAGATAAAGTCTTGAAATTTTGAACTTCATTGCTTAATTTTTTTTATTCATTTTCGAATTATTTGGATCTGAACACCCTTTAATAATATATCTGCTATGATTATTTTGTGGATTATGCATAACCAACCTCATCAAATTAATATACAGGCCTTCAAATATGAGAAGTAATAGATAAGAGAATTCTGGACTCATTTGTTTGCAATATTGATCGAGTCCAACATGAATACTACTTGCTGAATTTCATTTTGATCCAAAATAATTTCCATAGAGAAAATAGAGGAAATCATGTTGGAAAGAAAAACGGATCGAGGAAATATATATAACACGATATGAAGTATATGGTCATAAATAAATTATAAACAAGAAAAAATGAAAAAAATTAATTGGCAGGGGAATATAGTGTTTTATTCAATTGAATAACATTGAGGAAACAAATTCAGTAACCGTGCCTACACAATTATTTTATATTTTAATAATACAAAACTTATTAAAAGAATATAATATTTATATGGATGCAAAACCTTAGAAATACCACGAAGATGGAAACAAAATAAAATATCACGTGGAATAAAGGAAACACCATTTTCCCAATAAAAACACGTGGGAAGAAGGAAAAAGTATTTTATCAAAAATTCAACCTTATTTGGGTAAAAAAATCCAATAAATCACGCTTTTAAGTTTTCATTATAAAAAGTCATGTATTATATAGATTTTGCAGCATGCTCAAAAATGATTTTTGATTCAAAATTGTTAATTGAAAATGATAAATTTCAAGATCTTCATGGTTAAATCACATTTCTATTCCATATCTCAAAATCTGCAAGTACATCATTATCCACAATTTTAAGTGCCAAGATTTGTGAATTTCTTGACTTTACGCCTTTTCAATTTTAGGACATGTACGGTAGAGATTAAAATTAGATTAAAATTGAAAAATTAACCGTTATTGTTGACTTTTATTAGACGAGTGTGACCCAATAACGACTATATTTTCAATTTTAATTAGATTTTAAGTTGGATCGAACACGCCCTTAATGTATTTTTTTAACACAAATTTCACCTATTTTCACCCACCTTTTTTCTTGTATTATGCAAGACAAGTTAATGGAAGTTATAGGGAGTTGATGGGGTTAAGGAAAGTTTTAAATTAATCCGTTCAATCCACTTTAATGTCTTGAGAGTCGGGTCGGGTTGGGTCACCCTACATGGGCAACGTGCGACCCATTTTTTTTCCAACAAGCTTCTTTATTCACAAATCAGATATTTTTGTTTTTAATAATATTGTAAATATATATTTTGCATATGTTTTTATTTTGTCTCTTCAATTTATTTGAAGAGAGAAACACTTATTATTTAACACTCAAGGATGGAGTTGTGATTGAGATGGAACGATTTACTGCTGCTATTTACACTCCTGAAAAACGTCAATTTTATGACACGAATATTTATTCATGCTACAGTAATGGTTTTAATGCTGTCACATATGTGAAGAGCTTAGTTTCACCCAATGCATGGAATGAAGATATGTGACAACTATAACCATTGAAGGTGAAAAATGGGACTGCTGATAGTGCTACAGGAGATTTTACTGCTGTTTTTGAAGAGAATTTACTAGTTTTCATACAGGAATATTATGAACTTTCATTTCAATTTGGAACAATAACAGGTTTTTTTCAAAAGAATTCTATAATGGTTAGATTTGAATAAAATACGCAATAATTATCGTAAAAAGTACTATTATTCATAACCTCGTCTCCTGCTAACAATTTTTACTGTGAAATACATTGGGAATTATTACCATTTTTATCAAGTAGAAAACTGTAGCTAAGCTGTTTCAAAACTAATATAATGTATGTTCAAACAAGAAAAAAAATAAATAAACAAAAACTTTTTAGCGTATATATAATTGGATCAGAACCAGAGGTGGCCCTGAGGGTGCGCGAGTTGAGTGACCGCACAAGGCCTCATCATTGTAGGGGCACCAATTTTTATTTTTTTTAAGTTGTGTATATATATGTATAATTATATATTTAAAATATTTATTGATTTTAAATTTTAATTATCATGTTAAGTTAAAGTGCACAATATTTATGAGAAATGAGTTAAAAGATAGACAAATGATGATCTTTATTTAACATTGTA